AACTATTCAATCTGATGTGATCGGATATGTTTGGAAAACGTTGGTATCATCATCATACTATATATTTCTTTATATCGTTGGTGAAATCTTAACCGACTACTGAGAACTGCTTAAAGAGTTATGGATGAATATGCATCATTAGAAGCCTGATTCTGATAACCAATGAATCAATGATTGCCAAGCTAACCACCTCTGGTTGAGTCATTTAGAATGTAGGCTATCTGTAGGTGCTCGTCGACCTTCTGAAGCAAGTTGCGATACGGTGTATAAAAATGAATTCATTATTTGTCATTTCTTCTGCCTTCTTTCCGCTCTTGAGCAGCCGACAGTTGGCAGTACCTTTTTTGTTGGTTGTTGTAAGGCTTTGGAAGTAAAATTACTCATGCAATTCAACTGCTATCGTTATATAATAGCAAAATAATATTTGACATCGAGGAATTATATCATTATTGATTAAAGAATTAATATATTGTTTAAAAATCTATGCCACATTAATTTCCAAGTTCATTTTTTAGATTTTAGAGTGATGAATCCAAATAGTACTAAACAGGAATCATCGTTACCATCGAAATATATTCACATCATCTAATCTCTTATTTCAAACTTCGGAAATTTAAATAGCGTATGACCATTGGTCACATTCTTTAACAATAGCTTTTCTTCGTAGTACACAACAAAAATCGAAAACTGCACAATTATATTGCCAATGAAGGCAAATTTTTCAGCAGAAAAATAAGTCAGAATGAAATCGAACCACCTCCGCCCTGATTCTGTTCACTCCCGCGGCTCCATTCTAACTTACAATGCGTTGAAATATGAACTATTTAAATGTGACAACTATTTCATTCTTGTCTCGATGTTCCTGACGTTACCTTTTCCACTTTATTTCTCTTTACGATTAAGTGGGCTTTTCTCTCAAATTTTCCCCTCAAAAAGAAAATTCCACAATTGTTTTACAATATTACAATTATCAATGATTTTATTCTGCTTTTTTATTTCATTTCTTTTTCGGAATTTGCAAATTTGAATTTCATCACATTTATTTCCATTTAATTTTTGTGCAATACTTTTGTTAGTATTTCCGTTCCATTTTCGTTTCCCAATTGAATTCATTGCTGATTGCAATGATTATCTTCGGCTTTTGCTAAAACATTTACAACAGAAAGTTTGAACGCTTTTTTCATTCAAATTTTTTTTCGAATATGATTGCTTTACTACACCATTATGATATCACATACTATGATATCACATTTTCGAAAAACATAAATCGTCTTTTTATATTTTATAAAGTAGAAACAAACACTTTCAGATTTGTATTGTTTTATTTTGTTCACCTTGAAGTAGCAAATTTTAAACTGCAAAGCAAATAATTAATACAAGCAAATCAAAAATCAACGTGCTTTTTAAACACTTCCGCACGCAGTCTCTAATATAATGCAGTATCATGAGATAACAGTTTCATTGGAGTGCATAGAAATCCTAAAATCCTGAAATAAAATTTAAATCTAATTATCCATTCACGGTCGCCCTATCATAAATCTAATCAGCAACTAGAACAAATGAATTCTATTAACATTTTAATTAAAATTCTAATTTCTCCCGAAGGTTCATGTCTGACCGTGACCAAGATTTTGGGGCAGTCTTTTTCAATTTGTTCGCTTAATTGTAATTACTATTCTTCTAATATTTGACAGTTCTCGCAGGTAAAATTCAAACATTTTGGGTTTTATATAAATGAACTGTTACTGGACATTGTACGCAATCTATTGCAAAGCACATTGCGCCAATGACCTTGTGTTATCAAACGAGCATTGATTAGTGTTGACTGATAAATAATACAAAAAAATTATGGAGTTTATATTTTCGAGAATTTCATCGAAATCACCAAAATGTATGTTTTTTAAAAGAAATGTATTTTTATGGGAACGTTCGTCATTTGTACAAGCATACATTAGCAATGCAGATGGAAAGTGTGAATTATGAGGACAACAGTTGGCGAGCCATTTTTACGCATAAAAAGAATTGGAAAGCATCTGAATTGTATGGACTTCACAATGGAATTTGCTTTTGGTTCCTTTACAGAAAGCAAAAGACTCATAATTTGGAAATTGAATGTTAATCAGTGATTTTAATTTTAATTAGTATCTAATTCGACTTCCTGTTCATTGTCCATTCATAAATTGCATTATACCGATGATTTTATTTTCCAAAGTTACTGGGCAGAATCCGCATATTTCTAGACGAAAGAGTCACTGATAATGATAGTACATAGGGTAAAACACTAATATCTTTGTTTGTAAAAAAGCTGAATTCAGCCTAGCATCTGTTTAACTTGTATAGCTCTGGATCATCATCCTTTAGCTGTTGAGGAGCAGGTGAAAGTAAGAATCGATCAGATCAGGAGGTTAGTTCCTGGTGGAATAGTATAAGCTATGACTGATTGGAAACCATCTGAGTGCAATCTAGCAAGCACTGTGTTAGCTCAGCTGCTTTTGAGAAGCACGAAATGAACGGTTGGTGCTTGGCGCTATTGGACGAGCAGATGAAAACACTTCTCGAAACTTCTCAACTCTCAAATGTTCATCTTTCATGAAACTTTCATACGCTTGATTGATCAGTATATTTCTTTATATTGATTCGATATTCGGTTGTCCTCATGAATTTACATTCAATATTCGAAGTGTGTATGTATACGTATGCGTGTGTGTGCGTATGTGTCTGTGTGTGTATGTATGTATCAGTGAATAGGTAATTTGAAATCTCTGTAACTAGTAATGTAGGAAAAAGCGAAAGGGAGAGGAAGAAGCAGTAGATTAGTGTATACGATGGATTGCTAACTGAAATGAAATTTTTCCCGAGTGATTTTTTTTTTCAATAGAATGTGTTGTTTGACAAACAGACAACTTCTCACTAACTTTCAAACCGTGCTCAGTCCAATGTAAGTACGTCATTATCTGGTACCATCCACATCATTGTTTTACATTTTTCAATGTGAGGATTTTTCCTTTCACAATTACACTGCAATGGAAGATTGCGGGAAATACCAAAAGTCTGAAAGGACATTGCGAATTGTTTAGTTTAGTTGAAGGAACACCAACAACACTCAGCAGTACGCCTTCGAAATAGTTTTAATCCACTAGGAAGTATTTCACAAAGTTCAGCTCACTTATTCGGTGGGGTTCAGTCCTCAGATTGCAGCAAATTGTGGTGGTTTAGATAATTAAAGAATTCATTTTTATGAAATGCGTCGGTTGTAGCTGTCATAGCAAACAGTGTTGGTGAAATAATGATTTTAGCAATTCAGAATTCCACAAAATATGACTGAA